AGTGCAAGGGGAGCAAAGAATAGGAGCTCTGGGGAAAGGGTGACTCACACCACTAGGTCCGTTAGCTTTGGCATCCATGAGATGCGGATGGTAATCAAGCTTAATTAATAAAAAATTTAATATATTAGATTTTATTTAACATTAAATTGTGTCAATTTATACTAACCAATATAGTGCATTATCAATATTTTGAAATATAGACTGAGTCTAGAGGTGGTGTGCAACCTCCCCATCAGCAGAAATTCAAAGAGATGCACACCTTCAGAAAAAAGGCGGGAAAAGATCAAGAGCCATCGTGGATCAATGAAAAGCAAAGTATCGATATGTAAGTATATATAACATATAAATTAGCATAAAATGTATAGTTATAAGTGTGAAAAAAATTTATGTAATTAATTTAAATTATTTAGCAAAGTCTACTTTTTTTTTTATAGATTCTTTTCAAACTACTTTTGACAACATTGTTACTATTACTATTATTTTTTCAGGATACTTATGTTGCGGAGTGCACAGATAGTCATGGCTCTGATGCTAGTTCGTGGCCACGCATGGATAACGAGGCATGGGTTAAGGTTGTTAGAGGTTGCTCATCTAATTTCATGATAGGGATTGGCTCCCAAGTAAATCTAGAGATGGTTGGTTTTACGTACAGGAAGAGACAACCCCAAGAAAACTTAATAGCAGCATTGATGGCGTCTGACTATGAGAAGACATAGGCAAAAGATCATGAGGAGTTAGAAAGACAACGCCAACAAATTGCTTTGATGCAACAGCAGCTGGCCAATATGACAGAAGCTCAGAACAATATGAGCCAGACAATTGCACAGTCTGTTGCAGCAGCTCTAGCTGCTCATGGCATCTCCCCTCAGGCAGGTCATCATCCAGTTGCCCCACCACAGCCGTCACATGGTCCTGGCTCAGGTCTTTGCATGAATTCAGCTTTCACCTACTCCACTGATTCTACACAAACCTCTCCTATGGTCCCTGAATATCAGCAGCAACAGCAGTTTCCGCCTCAAGATGATGATGCATACCATCCTACTTTTGATCCAGACTATCAGGGTCCTTAGTTTTTTTTATTTTTCTGCTACGCACATTATCTGCATACTTTGCATGGTTGGCTTTATTTCTATTAGTACTTTAAACTGTTAGCTTTAGCTTTTATTACGATATATTTTCTTATTTTGCTTGACCTCTAGTGATCATACTTCAAAAGGTATGAAATTTTGGACTGCTTTGGAGGTTAATTATTATTAACTAAATATCGTGGGTATTTAAAACAATGGTGTGTGATTGCCATATATACTTTGTGGTTGTAGTTGTGGTTGAAAAGGTATAATTGTTTTTAGCATACTAGACTTGTAGAATATATGAGTTTTTCATTGCAAATGCAGGTAAAAAAAATTGGTTTTGATCATATGTATGGGGAAACTTTGTCAATTTTTTTTTTAGAATTTATACCAACTAAAACGACCAAATTACAAAAAATCTATTGAATAAATGTCAAATTATTGCATTTTTTATCAAAAAATTATAGTATTGCAAATGCAGATTTAAAAAAAAAATACATTTTATCATATATACGAGAGAATTTTGATAATTTTTTTAAAATTTCATGTCCACTAACATCTAAGAAATCTGTTACAAAAATTCAGAAAATGGCATGAAAACAAAATATGGAAAGGAACTTAGGCAAAATGGATGAAATCTGGAGAGGAAGTTGCTGAATTGTTACCGGCCATACTAGAAACGTACTCCTAGTCGGTAAAATCAATTTCCAACTTGTATCTCGTCGGTAAAGTTGCAAAAACATACCAACGGGAAGCTGGTCGGTAATTTGGGTGCACATTGCAAAAATTTTGGTTCCCGCTCCCAGTCACTTACCTATGTGATGTTTGTCGGTGAAAAGAATACCGACTAACTACACATGGGTAAGTTGCCATATATATACCCCCACAACTCTACCCAGCTTATTTCTTCTTGTCTTCCTTCTTATTCTTCTTCTTCTTCTTCTTCTTCTTCTTCTTCTTCTTCTTCTTCTTCTTCTTCTTCTTCTTCTCCTCCGGCTATTGCCTCCTCTTTTTCTTCCATTCAATGCTGCTGGATTAATTGTTTATATATGTTTATAATTACATTATTGATATAATTTTAGGTTGATATTTTTTCAATCTCCTCTCTTTTAATTTTCTCTTTCATTATTTCTCTCTATTTGATTAAATATTAATTTGTGTTATTTTATTTGTTTTCCAGGAAACATTAAGAGATAATCAATGGGGTAACTAAATTTTCTTTATGTAAATTTTATTTATATAAGCCATTAGAGATATTAGGGTTGAAATTAATTATAGATAAATACTAACTTAATTTATGTTTTTTTATTTTCTTAGGAAAT